GTAACTTATGTGAGACACATTCTGATATTTCCCAGTTTCATTTAAATTTTCCTTTATTTTTTTTTTAATGTTTATTTATTTCTGAGACAGAGAGAGACAGAGCATGAGTAGGGGAGGGGCAGAGAGAGAGGGAGACACAGAATCTGAAGCAGGCTCCAGGCTCCGAGCTGTCAGCACAGAGCCCGACGCGGGGCTCGAACTCACAAACCGTGAGATCATGACCTGAGCCGAAGTCAGTCGCTCAACTGACTGAACCACCCAGGTGCCCCTAAATTTTCCTTTAAAAGGAGAGCAGTCCTGATCCACTAGATTGATTTTATGATCCCCTCCAGGGTGTTTTCTAACACTAACCACCAATTTTGCAATTTTCCACACACCAACAGGGTGTCCCACGAGTTAATTCCATTCTGGTGCTAATTACTTAGAAGTAGTGTAGCCCCCACAGATAAGGGACTCCGCCCCACCTTCAGAAGCCTGTTGCAAGTCCTGGACCACCTGCACTTCCAGACTGACTGGCTATAACTTGCAGGTTCCCACAGCCCCCTCCTCAGGTTTGACCATTTGCCAGAATGGTGCACAGAACTCAGGGAAATGCTTTCCTTACATTTACCAGTTTATTATAAAGGATACAACTCAGGAACAGCCCAAAGAGGTGCATAGGCAAGGTATGGAGGAAGGGGCGCTGAACTTGGATGCCTCTCTGGGCGCGCCACCCTCCTGGCACCTCAGTGTGTTCAGCAAGTGGGAGGTGGGTGGGTGGGGCTGCAAGTCCCAGCCCTCTGAACACTCGGTCTTCCTGGTGACCAGCCCATCCTGAGGCTCCCTGGGGGTCCTGCCTATGTCAGCTCTTGGCACAAACTCAGGTATCACTAAAAGGGGCTCATGATGACTAACAAAAGACACCCTGTCACTCAGGAAATCCCAAGGGTTTTAGGAGCTTAGTGTTGGGAACAGGGACAAAGACCAAAGCAAATATATTTTCGTGTTCTACTATACTCCCATTATAATGGGAGTATAAACAGGATTGAAATAAAAACAGGGAGGGAGACAAAACAGAAGAGACTCATAAATATGGAGAACAAACTGAGGGTGGCTGGAGGGCTTGTGGGAGGCGGGATGGGCTAAACAGGTAAGGGGCATTAAGGAATCTACTCCTGAAATCATTGTTTCGCTATATGCTAATTTGGATGTAAATTTAAAAAAATAAAAAATAAAATAAAATAAAATAAACAGGATGGAAAAACACCACATACCAAGTCTACTATCTCATTAATGCTAATTTTCTCTTCCTCTGAGGGCTGGGCAACCCTGCCCAGTTCCTGTAAAGCCTTGGGGTAACCTGGGGAATACTTATTTCCATGGAATGTCCTGGCTTGTGGGAACAATATGTGTCCCCTCAATGCCCCCATGGCACCCCCAGCTCCATCCCCTGACAGCCCTTGGGTGACTTTTGTGGTTTTGAAAGTTCATCACTGTAGAGAGAAAAACATGATCTTATTTTGGTAAATTTTTTATTAAAAAAATTTTTGTTTTAATTTTTTTAATGTTTTATTTATTTTTGAGAGAGAGCACACGTGAGTGGGAGAGGGGCAGAGAGAGAGGGGCAGAGAGAGAGAGGGAGATACAGAATCCAAAGCAGGCTCCAGGCTCTGAGCTGTCAGCACAGAGCCCGACGCGGGGCTCGAACTCACAAACCGCGAGATTCATGACCTAAGCTGAAGTCGGACGCTTAACCGACTGAGCCACCCAGGCACCCCAAAACATTTTTGTTTGTTTATTTATTTATTTGACAGAGAGAGAGAGAGAAAGTGCAAGTTGGGGAAAGGTAGAGAGAGAGAGAGAGAGAGACAGAGAGAGAGAGAATCCTAAGCAGGCTCTGCACTGTCAGCACGGAGCCCAACACAGGGCTCGATGGTCTCATGAGCCACAAGATCATGACCTGAGCCAAAATCAAGAGTCAGACGCTTAACTGACCGAGCCACCCACGCACCCTACTTTGGTAAACTTTCCAAGTGAGAGAGAGGGAGAAGGTGAAAACCAGCATGAACTTCGACAGACCCTGCGAAACCCCTAGCTCTGCCAGTCCTGGCTGGGTGTCAGTTCCTTCTCAGCTTCCCGGTCTGACGGAGGGGACACGATGCCCTCCCACGGGCTTGTTTTGAGAATTCAATGAGCCGGGGCATAGAAAATGCCGGCAGCGCATGCCAGCACCTAGTGGGGGCTTGTGTGTTTCATTCCTCCTCCTAAAAGCACAGGTCATGGGTGCTTCCCAGCGTGGTCGGGCTCCCTCCCTCTCCGCCGCTCACCGGCACCACCCCCAGGTAAGACCACGGCTCCTGAGGAAGCTGAGAAGGCAACGGCAGGAACAGCTTTCTTCAGAGGCAAAGAGGACCGGCCCTACCACCCCGTCCCCCTGGGAAAGGAGGGTTGGTAGCTTAGTCGCAACATTGTGTAGTCAGGCCCGAGGGTCTCCACCCTTCCTTCCTCATTTCAGCTAACGGCACCCACTTCACGAGGCTAGACACCTGGCCCCTGGGTGCGCTAAGGATTTGTCCTCGCGGTCCTTGTAAGGGGCTTGGTAGAGTGCCTGGAGCACAGTCAGTGCTCCAGAAAAGATCCAGTGTGTTCACGGCCCTGTTGCCCAGGAGAGCAGCCCCGGCGTCCCCCTGGCTCCTCTGTTCCCTGACTCCCTTCTGCAGTGGCTGTGGGGGCCCCCCCCCCCCCCCCCCTCTCAGTTCCTCCGGCCGGCACTGGGGCAGGGGCCTCCCCACAGGCACTGCGTGGCTGCGGTGGCCCTGGGCTGGTCTCCCCTCTCCCCTCCTCCCCTCTGCCGTCTGCTGCGGCCACGCAGGTGTGCTAGAGCGCGGCCCGACTGGGAGCAGCGGTGGGGCTCACAGCAGCCGAGGAAGGATGTCCCCACAGCTCCCGGGCTTGGCGTTCGAGGCCTTCCATCTCATCCCCACCCACGTGTCCAGCTCTCCCACACAGCCGTTCCCAAGCTTCCCACCACCAGTCTTCCCCGCCGTGCGGTGTCCTCTACCTAGAACTCTCTCCCTGCTCTTCCTTGCTTGGTCTCCAGTGTCACCTGTTCCACAGGAAGGCCTGGACCCTCCCACCCGTGGAAGGGGAGGGCTGCAGGGGAACAGCACATGCACCCTCTAGGCCCCAGGCCCTGCATCGTGTGCCGGGGAGAAGCAGCTGGGGTCCAGGGGTCCAGATAAGCTTGGGTTCAAATCGGCTCAGGACTGAGCTGTGTGATCTGAGCGGGCGACGGCCCCAGCCTCAGTTTCCTTGTCTGTAACAGCTGTAAGAACACCTGTGATGGCCCCCGGAGTGTTTACTTCACGCCAGGCCCTCTGGCGGGCCCCATACAAGGAACTTTGTGTCTGATTCTTAGCACAACTTGGGGGCAGGGGGCATCAGCCTCTGAAGTGGGTCCGTAGATGAGAACACCTCCCCACAAGCCAGCTGTAGGGGTTAGAAAGAACTCTGTGGGCAGAGTGCAGACCAAGCCTGACTCTAAGAAGATGCCTGGTCAATCAATGGGAGCCAGTGTGCACAGTCTGCTGCTGCCCCAGCCTGACCCACGGATGCCTCTTACCAGCCCTGCCCACCCATCGCCCAGCCTCAGCGGGGTCTGCTCCCGGGGACTGGCACCTGTGACCCTCAGAGGGTTGTCCTGAATGCTGGGGCCTCACTGCCTGCCCCACTGACCCCGCGGAGAGCCACAAATGCCTCTGTCACGGGGGCTGGTCGGGTGGCTTGGTGGGTACGAAAGCCTAGCCCCGCTGGCTTTAAGGTGGACAACGCTGAGGTCTCTCTTCTGCTCCAGAGCCGCCCTTGGGATCCTGCTGAGGCTGGGATGGCCCCTGCAATCTCACCTCTGCTGGACTCCTCTCCCTCCCCTCCCCCTGCTGCTCTCTCCTTGGGGGCAAGTCCTTTAGCACCACTTGTATACGTGCCTCTAGGAGAGCCCTAGCTAAGCTATGACTGCGCCCCACCCCAGACCCGCTGGGTCAGAATCTCTGGGGTAGACTCCAGGAGTCGGTATTGTTTTAAAAATTTTTGTCCTGTTTATTTGAGAGACAGAGAGAGAGAGGCAGGGGGAGGGGCAGAGGGAGAGGGAGACACAGAATCCAAAGCAGGCTCCAGGTTCCCAGCTGTCAGCACAGAGCCCGACGCGGGGCTCGAACTCACGAACTGTGAGATCATGACCTGAGCTGAAGTGGGATGCTTAACTGACTGAGCCACCCAGGTGCCCTCAGGTGTCTGTATTTTTAACCAGCTTCCTGGGCGACTGCAAAACCCAGGCAGGTCTGGGAAGGCTCTCTAGAGCCCTCACACCAGACGACCATCCAGCCCGGAACGTTAGGGTGAGCACTCTGAAGCGGGGGCCCGTGTCTTCCCGCATGGGGACAGGGAGGGGGGAGCGTGTGCTCCCAAGGAAAGTGCTGGCTCTATGCTGTGCCACCTTGGCTACCATCCTCTTGAGAGATAAAGCATCCACAGCTAGGAGAGGCCGGGTGACAGCGAGGTAACGGGTCTCCAGCTCCTGGCCTGGGGCTCTTCCTCCCACAGCATCTCACTCCTCACAGACGGCCTTGGTGCTGACACCAAATACAGTAATGTTGACTTCGAGACATTCGGGCTCTGTGCCCTGTGATCTCGTGGGTTCCCTGAGCAGCTGAGGGTGGGCAAACAGGCACCTGTTTTTCTGGAACGCAGAGAAACAGCAGCCAGAGGCGGAAAGGTCGGCAGGTGACAGCGTGACCTTGGTGTCTTGGTGACTCTGGCTCCAGATCTCTCTGGACACAAAGTCACTACTCCAGCACACCCTCCCAGGGCCCAACCCACGGAAACAGAACCAGAACGCCTACTAGCTGCTGGGTGGCTCCTTTATCCGCTTTCTTTCTCTGGCATGTGTCAGCGGGTATGAGCATTCCCATTTTACAGAAGAGGAAGTTGAGCCTCAGAGAGACGAAGAGACGAGTGCAAGTCCTGGGCTCTGCGATTATGTCATTGTTCATTTATTCATTCCAAGCACCAAACGCCATGCTGGGCACTCTCTCCTAAGACAGGAACTTCTCAGAACAAGAAAGCTCCCTGAGAGCTCGGCAGGTCATAACATATGGAGGGCCAGGGGGCCTCTGCCGCTCTGCCTCGGAAAGAACATGCCAGATCATTGAAATTATTGTGAGAGGCACACAGTGTGGGGGGCGGGGGCGGTTGTAGCAAAGATCATAGACCTTGGAGATTTACCTACTTTCAATCTCCATCCCGCCGTTTACCACCTATGTGACCTGAACAAGTTACTTCTCTCAGCCTCAGCTTCCACATCTGTGAAATGGGAACTTCCCTCAGGGTACTGTTCGCAAGACTTACAAAGGTAATGGATATAAAAACTCTTAGCACAGTGCTTGGGTACCGGAGAGCCCTCAACAGGTGCTGGCTGTTAGCGGCTGCTATCACCCAGCATCACATTTTTCTGCCCATCGCAGCCCAGGAGGGTTCCGGCAGGTGGGAAGGGAGTACTGGGTTGAGCATGGTTTTCACGGGAGGCAGCAACGATGGTCTCTCGGACGCATGGAGAAGCGAGCCTGGAGCCCTGGAGCCCTGGAGCCCGAGGCATCCTGTCCAGCCCTCGTCGAGGGCCTGGAGCTTAAGCCATTATGACACCAAAATACCTTTTTACATCCCTATTGGCCTGCAGCCAGTTCTGAGGAAACAGAGCAGCTCTGAGGGTGGTGATCAGTCACTCACCCCACCCAGCAGCTACTTAATAATCACAGGCTCTGTCCCACTGAGGGGTATCAGCCCTTCCTGTTGTCCTCACAGGAAGTGCCATCTATAACCCCTGCAACAGGGCGGGTCAGGTCCTCATGGGACTCCAGACTGTCCTGGAAGCTGGAGCACAGGAAGTTGGGGTAAGGGGCTGTGAGCCAGGGGGCAGGTGGTGACGAGGGAGGGGTCCTTACCGGCCAGACTAAGATAGCATCAGAGCCAACACCTCCCTCATGGTTACCAGGGCAAAACCAGGGACTGTCCCCTCTCTGTGCCTCCTCTGGGCCGAACCTTTCCTTCCCTCTGGGGGCTCCCCTGTGACCCTCACCCCCACCCCAGGGTGCATGAATGTCGGTTGCAACCAGATGCCCTTCTGTGGGGCCAGATCTACTCACCTACTGACACAGTAGAACGCGATCAGTCTGAAGATGTCCTCAAACACAAGAACCGAGCCTTCCAGGTACAGTACTGAGGAGAGATGACAAAAGCTCTGGATGAGTGTCCCTGCCAGGCGGAAGGAGACTCCCTGAGGGTTGGGGCCATATCTGCCGCCTTCACAGGGGGTCCCAGTGCCAACCACAGTGCCTGGCATCCTGCAGCCTCATACACATCAGCTCTTAACGAGACTGTAGGCAAGTGGGGACTGAACTTCTGTGGTGTTAATCCACTGAGATTTCAGGGGACTATTACAGAAGCTGGTTATCTTTGATATACAGTCATCATTTGGGGCAAAATGACACAGGAGACTCTAGATCGTAAAAGCAGAATTAAACATTGAATTGATGAGGGTCATCTCAATCTGACAAGGAACTGGGAGGGGCCAGCAGGGGATAAGTTGCCCAGTTCTGTCTGGGTCTCCAGGAGGTGCAGGAGGGCAGGACCAGGGCCACTGGCCTTTCACCAAAGAACCCTTGGGCCTGTTAGAACCTTACTCGATTTGGCTATATGGGTAATCCAAGAGTGAGGGTGACCCTGGTATTTCCCAGCTCTGAGAACAAAAACGGATCAAAGCACTTGCCCAAGATGCCATCCCAAGGTGGATATGGCTCCTTGGAGGGGCACGGTGCTGGGATGTGCCTGAAGGTAAGTGGGGGTGGACCGACCAAAGGGGAATGTGGCACCCTGCTTTGGGTCCTCAGGACAAGGGGCCCAGAGAAGCTAAGCCATTTGGTCGAAGTCCACTGCCCATCTTGGCTGTCATGCAAGTTCACGACCCCTGACTGTCATCCCAGGGCTCCATATGCCCAACAGGTGATGCTCCCTGTGTTGGGGATCCCCCACAGTGAACTTTCTCAGGCACCAAAGATACCAAGAAACAGAGGGCCACACTTCAGTTCCAATTTCCTAAGGTTCTTCTCCCATCTGTGTGGTGGAGGGGAAGTCAGGACCTGGGTCCCAGGCCTGGCTCCAACCATGGGTCAGGGCCACCACCTGCAAAAGGAAGGAGCCCTTCCAACCATACATCTAGATGACAGGAGGCTGTTCTGTTTTCAAAGCATAGGACAGCATTTCACTGCATTGTGCTCTGCGACACGGGCACACACGAACCAACATGTTTTGTTCCAATAGCTTGGTATCATTTTATTTTATTTTTTATTTTTTTCACATTTATTTATTTTTGATAGACAGAGAGAGACAGAGTACAAGTGGGGGAGGGGCAGAGAGAGAAGGAGACACAGAATCCGAAGCAGGCTCCAGGCTCCGAGCTGTCAGCACACAGCCCGACGCGGGGCTCGAACCCGCAAACTGCGAGATCATGACCTGAGCCAAAGCTGGATGCTTAACCAACTGAGCCACCCAGGCGCCTCTGAATAGCTTTATTTTTATATTTGCTTTCTTTCAACGTACTAGACACTGTTCTAAACGGTTAGCAGGATTTTTAAAAAGAAGTTACACTCATCATCTATTTACGGCAAAGAAGTAATGGTTTCCCATAGACACTTTAAAAGGGAGTTTAAAGAAAAACGCTAAGTAAATTTTTTTTAAATGTTTATGTATTTCTGAGAAAGAGAGACAGAGAGAGACAGAAACACAAAATCCAAAGCAGGCTTTGGGCTCTGAGCTATTAGCACAGAGCCCGACACAGGGCTCAAACTCACTAGCCATGAGATCATGGTCTGAGTCCAACTGACTCAGCCGCCCAGGCGCCCCAAGAAAAAATACTAAGTAGATTAAAGTACCAGTGGTACTTGGAAGGTGCATACAAACGACTTAGTCAGAAACATCCATCCCTGGAACTGCCACCCTTTGTGAATCAGTAGCAGTTGGGGCGGGCCACAGCGCCACCTAGTGCTGGCATTTGGGGCATCACCGACTCTCTCAAGAAGCGACAGGCCAAGGGAGCCGGGGGGCCAAAAAAGACATCCTGTAGCCTCAAGAGGTAGAGAGAGCTCCATCTATCAAGCGGGGAAGTAAATAAAGACTTCCTTGCGAATCCCTCAAGGGGAGGCTAGTAGCGATGCATGCAGAAAGCCTAGCATACCTGGTGCACGCACTCAACAGTTAGTAGCTGTCCCTAGTCACGGGGACACGGGGACATGTCTGACCTTTGCAGGACACACTTGAAACTTTTAAGATAAAGTCAGCCACTCCCTCTTCTGCGGGGACAGCATCCCTTCACACCACGGACACCCCTGGGGGAGCTCCTGCATGCCAGGGCCAGGGTGTGGCCCAAATCTGAGTCTCCCCTCCCCCAGTACCCAGCACAGTGTGTGACACGCAATTTGGGAGATCACTATGTGTATTACGTGTCTATCTGGGAGGGAGACCCCGGAGGAATAGAGGCCTGGGGACACTTTGGATGACTCATCGCTCTCCCCCGCAGGAGTCCAAAGGGACACCTCAGACCTGAGGGAGTCCCGACGGACAGCTTCACATCATCCTGGAGCACGGGCTAATGCAAATGGGTAAGCGTTCGACGATCCTAATGTTGGCTGGGCTTAGCTTCCAGGACCGTCCAGAGTTCTGTGCTGTACCGGCCTGGTGCCTCGTGTGTGGGTGCCCGGGCCCAGCTGCCCAAATGTGAACATGCCTCTGTCACTCTGTTGCTTACCCTCTCTGTGCCTTGGTTTCTTCAGCTATAAAACAGGGATAATAAAGTATCCGCCTGTTATGGGTTGAATTGTGTCCCCCAAAAAGATATGTTGAGGCCCTAACCCTGATTTGGAAATAGGGTCTCTGTAGGTATAATCAAGTTAACATGCAGTCAGACTGGATTGGGGTGAACCCTAAATCCCATGAATGGTGTCCTTACAAAAATGCGTAAGGACGTGGGACACAAATGCAGAGAGGAGAAGGCCACATAACGATGCAGGCAGAGATTGGAGCAAGGCCTCTATGAGTCAAGCAACACCAGAGAGTGCTAGTTTTCACCAGAAGCTAGAAGAGGGGCGTGGAACAGATTCTCCCTGATCTGCAGAAATAACGAACATGTTGATTGTTGATTTCTGAGCTCCAGAACTGCGAGAAAATAAACCTGTGTTGTTTTAGGACCACAAGTAGCACAGCGGTCCTAGGACACTAATGAACCCACTCATAAGCAATGCTCATTCCCAGAAGCCGCTAGAATGGTGCACAGCACGCTCAGTCAGTGACAATACAGGATTACTAAACCGTAACTTTAAACCAGTAAGCCAATCATGGAGGTAGAAGGGTTTCTGTGGCTCTGCTTGGCATTATTTCGTATGGCTCCTCAAAAGAAAACCTGTCCCTTGGGGGGCCCATTTTCCTCACTTTATCCTGTCAACACAGTCCATATTCCTACCACTGGGCCTTTGCTCGTGCTGTTGCTCTATGCATGAGAATCCATCTTTTTAAAAAATTATTATTATAATTTATTGTCAAGTTAGCTAACATACAGTATATACAGTGTGCTCTTGCCTTCAGGATTAGATTCCCATGATTCATCACTTACATAAAACACCCAGTGCTCATCCCAACAATGCCCTCCCCAATGCCCTTCACCCATTTTCCCTGCTCCCCTCCCCCCCTGCCCCTCCACTCCCTTCCACCCTCGGTTTTTTCTCTGTATTTAAAAGTCTCTTACGGTTTGCAATCTTTGCCCTTCGCCACTTTCAGGATTCAGCTCTACGTCTACCTTCCGGCCCAAAACCTTTCCTGAGTGTTCCGACCTCCCCCAGGGAAAGCTGCACACAGGAGGAACTATGCAAACCACACATTTTCCCATCAGGGAAACGTCATACATATGCTCACATTGTGATGTGAGGTCATGAGACTGTGGACCCCCTGAGAGTAGGAACAGGTCTTAACTTTCCTTATCACCTGCCCTGCACCTGACACCGTGTTGGGCACACAGGAGGACTCTGAAAGGGACAGCCGGGCTGACCAGGCCCTCCGGGGCTGGAATCGAGAGTGGACCAAATTTATAGAGACAAAAAGTAGGTTAGTGGCTGCTTAGGGCTTGGGGGTGGGGGAGGGAGGAGAGGTAGGGAGATGATATGGTTTTCATTTTTTTAAAAATCATGTTGAGCTACAAAAACACACAATTTAGCATTTTAACTATTTTAGGGGTGCAGTTCAGTAGCATTAAGTACAAACACATTGGGCAACACGGGGCCTCTTTTTTGAGGTGATAAAATGTCCTCACACTCACTAGGGTGGGGATACACTACTCTGAACCAAAAGCCGCTAAAGGAGCCCCCTAAGTGGGTGAATTGTGTGAACTAAATATATTATATATGGCTATCTTTCAATAAAGCCACTACATTAAAAAAAGGAGTGGACTGAATTTCACTGCCTAGATTGTGTTTTCCTGGGAGTTTTATAATGAGCATATATGATCTCAGTAAGCAGAGAAACTGTAAAGAGCCTACATTTTTCTCTAGCCTTTAAAAAAAAAATGTTTATTTTTGAGAAAGAGAGAGAGACAGAGTGTGAGCAGGGGAGGGGCAGAGAGAGGGGGAGACCCAGAATCCGAAGCAGGCTCCAGGCTCCGAGCTGTCAGCACAGAGCCGGGCGCGGGCTGGAACTCACAGACCACGAGATCGTGACCTGAGCCAAAGTCGGATGCTTAACTGACTGAGCCACCCAGGTGCCCAGTAGATTTTTTAAAACATTTTTTAATGTTTATTTATTTTTGAGAGAGAGAGAGAGAGAGAGTGAGGGAGGGGCAGAGAGAGAGGGAGACACAGAATCTGAAGCAGGCTCCAGGCTCCGAGCTGTCAGCACAGAGCCTGACGTGGGGCTTGAACTCACGAACTGTGAGATCATGACCTGAGCTGAAGTCCGATGCTTGACCGACTGAGCCACCCAGGCACCCCTCTTTGCTCATTCTGTACTCAAGTTGTTTGCCGTTTTGTTTTGAAGGGCTCAGAGTTCCTCTTTAGCTAGGACATTTTCATAACGTATTCATTTCTCCACAAATATTTATTGTGCTCATCAACTTGACAAAAAGGGTAGGTGGATATAGAAATTGAGAGGCAGCCTCACAGGTAGAAGGATGACAGGGAATTTGCCAATGGTCTGGCCATAGGACATCGCTCAAGCTGGGTCCCCGGCAGGAAAGGCCACAGGTGCAGAACCTGAGAATAAAAAGCCACTGTGATGACAGGCTGGGGAATGGTTCGCAACTGGGGAGCAGGAGGGACAGACGTCGGCAGGACTGGCAGGTGCAGCCAGGCCCGCTGATCCTCATGCCTCCCACCCCTGGAGGCTCCTTCCCCGCTTGGAAGGCCACAGTTACCTTCTGACGGCCCAGCAGCACGGTTGCCATGGGAACCGCCACCTGGGCAGTTTGTGGCTCAGGTGGGAAAAGGCCTCTTTGCTACTCTCACCAGGCCTGTCCAAAGGCTCGATTTTCTGCAGTAGATGAAAACTACTGCCCCTGCTCCCAGGGGTGAAAGTGGGGAGAGTAGCAGTTTCTCCGGAGTCTGGGGGACGCTGTGGGTCCAGGCCCAGCTCTGGTGCCTACTTGTTTCCAGAAGCTCCCGCAGCAGCTGCCTGACCTGTGAAATGGGAGAACAGCCATCTCCCTGCCCGAAGGAAGGGTGCTGCCAGACTAAGGCTTGTGGGATCGCTGGTCCCAGCGGAAGGAGAAGCGGCCAGGAGGGAGCACGGAGAGTCCCACGCTGGACAGCAGGTCGGCTGTGCTCTCTGGACGGGCACAGATCCGAGCATGAGTGGTGGACACCCTCGTTCCCGCTCCAGGCAAAGCCCACGCGGGAACGGTACCGACCAGGCATGGGCTCCCGGTTCCATCGGCCACATGCCCAGAGACCAAAGCCCTTACTCTCAGAGACTTGCTTCCTGAAACCGCCACGTGATGATAAGAGTAACCGAGGCCCTCCTTGGCCCTCTGGCTCCTCGTGCAGAGGTCAGAGTGGTACCCTGCAGAGGTGCTGAGCGAGGGCTAGCAGCGGCCCCTGCACCAGCGGGAACACAGAGGTCCGAAGGGCTGGGGAGGGAGCCCAGCAGGGGCGAGTTAGGGCTCAGGGACCTGGAGAGGATGACAATTTGAAAATGTGCTGCAGACAGTTTCCTCTCTCTCTCCTTGCCTGGTACTGACGGTCCAGGTAGACACCTTGGCCTCTGGCTCATTGGCTGGCCCTGGAGCCCCTTGATTGTCTATTTACAAGCTCGCCTGAGCCTCCCTCTGTGAAACTTCCATCCCCTCTGAGCCCCGAAGCTTCTCAGTGTAAGATCATCCTTCCTTAGCTCCCCTCCCAACCCCCACCACATCTCCTCCATCAACCACGGGTCCCTGAGAGGAGGGGCATGAGCTGCAGGGAGGCTGACAGGGAAAGGAACAGGGAGGAACTGCCAGTCATGGGCAGGGGTCCAAACAGGGGGCTGCTTCCAAATGCCCCTAATGCTCTGTTATAGGATCTGGCAAGGGAGCAGAAAGGTGCCTTCTCTTCCAGGTGGCTGTAGCCCTGCCCTAAACTGTACAACTTGACAAGCAGAACACCAGCTGGAGTTCATCTCCCACCAATGAGGCACTTTTGGACAGTGCACAAGCTGTGCAACTGTCTATGGCAGCCCTGGATGTGAGTCATGGCCATCTTTGCTGGTTGCAGTAGGCATAAGGAGCAATTTCCTAGTAATTTCATCTTAAGAATTTTAAGATGAAAAAGTACTGCAATGTCTTTTTACTGAGTTCTATCCCACATCCCAAATTTGCTCAGACTGGGGACTCCACCACACCCAAATGCCCCTCCCACCGGACTGAGAACCATTGAAGGCCAGAAAGGAAGGGCCCTTAGAGACACGTCTGGTCCAAACTCTCTCACTGCATAGATGAGGAAACTGAGGTCCAGGGAAGGTACATCATTGTGCTGTGAGCCAGTATTAATTTGGGTGCTCCCCAGAGTCTGATTATGGTGCTCTCTGGAATCTGATTGCTATTCTGATTGTTCTGCCCCCTTCTCCCAAATTCCTGGCTTTAGGAACCATGGGCTTTAAGCCTCCTGATTAATAATGGAGGGGTACAGTTTTCAAGGTTTCAGAATAATAATAACAATAGCAATAATAATATCGACCACTTATGAAGTGCCTACTGTGTGCCAGTCTCTATTTTTAATCATCATGGCAACTCCATTATCCTCATTTTACAGGCCAGGAAGCTGAGACTCAGGGAGGTTAAACACATGGCCCAAAGGCCACAGTCATGATTAAGTGCCACCAGCCTGGGAGCCTGGTATATCAGGTGCCTTTTTTTTGTCCAGAGAGGTGGCCTGGGGTGGAGGGAGGGCGTCCCAGTACTTCATGCTGGAATGCACTCATTGGCTCCCTGCTTCAAGTGAATAGGTCAGCTAGCAGAGACGCCTGCCCACGGGCCACGCATTTCCTCCCCTGTCACCAGGCAAGCCCCATGTCCTCTGGGTGACACCCTCCCAGGAAGACCCATGGCCTCCCTCCCTCCGGCCCTGGCGCTGGGTACACACTCGGCTTTAGAGCAGGATTACACCGCGTCATGCTGTGTTCCAGCTCTCGGGAGAGCTGGAGTCAGGCCTTCCTCCTTTTCCTTGTCCCAGAGTCAGGACCTTGCCGGGATGATACCGCAGCCCGGGCGGCATTTGCTGTCACTAAAAGCAACGCCCCCGAGCCTCACGCTGGCAGCCACATCCGCCAACAGCTGCGGCTACACGGTTCGAGCTGTAACGAAAGATTCCTTTTCTTGGATGGCGCTCTTCCATAGTTAGCGACTGTGCAGACGAGGCCGTAAGTCGGGGAAAAGGAATACAGAGCAAATCGTCACGATGCAGATGGAGACTTTGCCTGGGAACTATTTATGGGTTCAGAGGCCAAAACAGAAGGGGCGACGTTAGACAGATGAGTGAACTGCCAAGTGTCAGGGAAGACTAAATCACGCGTAAGCAGACAGGGAGGAGTTTGGGGAGAAGGGGCAGGGAGGGGTGGAGGACAGCAAAGCAGAGGCATGCCGCCTGCCATCTGGGGGTCTAACTACCCACAGGGAATGAGCTGCCAGTCTGGGAAAGCCATCCACCTGCGCCTCCGCTCACATTCAGCGATCAGCAGGTGTCTTTGTCTCCATCAAGAAGAAACACTTTGCTCTGTTGGGCCAAAGGAAGAAAAGGAGGTGGCCCGAGGCACCACCCTATTGGCGAGAACACCCCCAACTCCCACAGAAGGACCCATCAGACACAACCTAGCTCAGGAAACAACCCGGCCTCAGGGTCTTACCCCAGAGTTTGCAAACTTTAATCTGAGGTCTAGAAGAAAAGCGACGACCACTTACAAAAACCGGGCCTCTGGGGAGGCCCAGAGAGGTTCAGTGGCTCGGCAGAGGTCACAGGGAGCTGGGAAGTGATCCCGGGACGTGACTCTACAGCCCGCGCTCTCACAAAGCACACGCTCTTGGTTCTCCAGACCCCGCCGTCCAGGAGAAACAACATGCAAGCTATGCATGCAATTTTAACGTTTCCTATAGCCACGGTGGAAATGGTAAACAGAATCAGGTCAAGTGAACCCTAATCATATATTCTATTTACCCCAAATATTGAAAATATTATCAGTCCCATAAATCATAAAGATAAAAAATTACTAGTGGGATATTTTAGATATTTAAAAAAAAATTTTTTAACATTTATTTATTATTGAGAGACAGAGACAGACAGAGCATGAGCGTGGGAGGGGCAGAGAGAGGGGGAGACACAGAATCCGAAGCAGGCTCCTGGCTCCAGGCTGTCAGCACAGAGCCCGACGTGGGGCTTGAACTCACGGACCGTGAGATCGTGACCTGAGCCGAAGTTGGACGCTTAAAGTATGCTGAGTTTCAGAAATCCTGCTGCGGAGGGAGAGCCGGTCTGTGCTCCCAGGACAACTGGCAGGAGCCCATGGGCGCTGCGGATGCCCACACCTAGCCTGCCGTCGGGTGCCCAACATCGGTGCTTAGAGTGGAACTGGATGGAAGACAGGAGCGCCCACCAGGACTCTGAATCACAGGGATCTCGTTCCCATCCTCCTCCCCATCAGTGCCATGCACGGAGTCATGGAATCAAGAACTAGGGACCGGCCTCGGGGCAAATGACCTTTCACTTGCTTCCAGATGCTGCTGGAACGCCAGCTTGGCAACATCCAGCCCAGGGCTCAGGACGCAGCTGCTTCTCTGCAAGCATCCCGGGGCAGGCTCAGCCCTCGCCAAAGGGGAGGCCTATGGTTCTGGGGAGCAAATTCA